GAGACACCATCTACCGACGTCTCCCTTTCACCACTGAAACGGCCACGAGATTTAACCAAAGGCAGATGAAGTGCTCTGCTTAAAGCGACGTCTGGTCTGAAAAATGAGGGACGTTGGGGTCAGGATGTTTGGTCCAGCATTTGAGTGATCTGGACTAGAACCAGCTGGGAGTGCTGCAGCAAACTATTTTTCATCAAAAGGTGCCAGGTGTGGAACCATGCTGGAGAGGAAGAAAACGCCGATCTCTGCCTTAGCCTTAGAAAAAGCAGTGTGGAGAGGAAGAAAACGCCGATCTCTGCCAGTGCCATGACCTTAGCCTTAGAAAAAGCAGTACCGTGCCCTGTCGGATGCAGCCTGTAACCTATTCCATGGGTGCCCCGTCAGACGCAGCCTGTCACCTTCCTGAATGGCAGGAAGATTCCATTGCGATGGCCAGGTTTCTGAACACTGCTTAGTGGTCAGGGGTACCTCGCCTGAGGTGCGTTGGAGGGCCTTAGTCCTCAGGGTAGGTGCTTGGCGATTGGATCCATTTTAAAGGGTCTTAATTTGGGAGCTACAGAACCGAGGCACCACATTCACCAGCTGCTTTTGGAAAGTCCTGCATGATCTGTAATTTGTCACCTCTAAGGCGGAACATGCCACACAGGCGGTTTCCAATCTTGTCTTGTAAACGGAGCACATTCCCTCTGGGAGTTATAGCGAGCGTCTGTGTAACCCCGCAATGTCATGGGTAGAATCGCTTTTCAGAGCACGGGGGCCCTTTTGATCTCTTCATTAAACGGGGGGGAAGAAAGGCAAATGGTTCGAGGCAGCCACCGTTCCCCTCCGCTCTCCAGTCCCTCGTCAGCTTCAACTTCTTATCTTTGTGGCTAACTCCACCAGCCACTGCAGCAAAAAAAAAAAAAAAAAAAAAAAGTTTTAATGGAAGAAAAATTCATTTGAAATCGTATTTGAATGCCTGGATTCCCCCAGGCTGGAAGGAGTTTTGATTCTCTTGTTTTTAACAGGTTTTTTTTTTATCTGGGATGCCTGAGGGGCAATCCTGTAACCACCAGTTAGGAATAAAAAATGCATTAAAGCCTCGTGTGAAGAAACGTTTTGTTATTTCTTTTCCTTTTTTTCCCACTGTTGCTGCTTGGGCCTGGCTCTGCTGCAAGCTGACGCAGAGAACACGGTGTGTGAGACGCTGAACAGGCCGAAAGTATCGCTCTTAGTGCTCATCTATACTAGGGGCTGGTGTTTCTCCATGTGCATTTTAAACATTGTTGATCTAATCTGATTTCCGACCCCTAAAGCTCTAAGCCGCCTTTTTTCAACTTTTCACACATGGGGCTCATTTGCGACCTTCCTCAATGGTGCCATGGAGATCTTGGGGATCGGCCGGACCAGTTGTTGAGAGACACTGCTCAAAGCAGGCTAGTCCGCTGAGAGGTGGTAATGCCAGCCTGGCTGCTCACGCAGTTGATAAGGGCGTGTCTGTGTCTATCCAGCAAAGGCACAAGTAACAATAGCTAGCAAGGTGAGGGCGTACCCAGGCTCCACTTCAAGTCTGTGCTGAACATCTGTTCTGTGTTCACTGCTCTTGTTGGGCCTGCTCGCTGCATTCAGGTAGGCCTAGGCCCCCCGCGTAGCTTTGACTGTGTCGACGCATCTTTCCCAAGTGATGTGTTTCTAGGGGTTTGTGCTGACACCCATCTCTGCCCTTGTAGGGTGGCCAGGCGCGTTCAGTAGCTGAGTGAGAGCGGGATCCTTGGGCGGCACCTTGGAGCAGGTGTCCTGCTTCAGACCCCCTGTCGGATTTGGACACGGGATGGAGTCGGGAAAAGGAAAACTACAGCTGGAATACAGGGCCTTCCTGCTGCCTGTGGCCCCCGTTGCTTGCATCAGACTGAGCAAACTTCGGGAAGCCACCCTGCACTGGCAGGAGAAAGAGCCAGCTGGGTTATCTGCCTGGTGGGGACCCCCAGCTCCGCGTGGTGCCCACTTGACGCCCCCCTAGATTCCAAACAGCTTCTTGTTGCATGGCTGAATCCTGAGAGGGCTGCGTCTCAGAGGAGGGATGTAAAATCCCGTTTAATCGGTTAACACTACGTTTCACCCTTTACCGATTAAAGGGCTGTGGGCGGGGAGCCACTCCACCAGGTCTGGAGCAGCCCTCTCGCCCATTGGGGACAGGCTAGAGCAGTCCCTGCCTGTGGAGGCTGCCGCTGGAGGGGAGTGCTGGGCCACGGGCAGGGGGCTGCTCCCTGGTACCAGCTCCCCGGTACCAGCATCGTGTGTTAAGGGTGATGCTGACCGGATCACCGTTTGACTGGTTCCCTAGGCACATCCCTGTCTCACCTCAGATGCTTTTCAGGTGACACTGGCTAGCAAGGGGCTAGTGCCGCTACTCCGGAGACGCGAGCGGTGCCTGCGTGTTAACCATTGTGTGAGGGGAGAGGGGAAGTTCTGAGCGTAAAAGGCCGAGTCTCTCTGTGAGGAGAAGTACAAAGCTCTTCACTGGCCTTCTTGCTCTAGGGTAAGCGGTCTCATGAAAGCCTTGTCAACGATCGTTCTTCCGTCCGTTAATCACGCTTCATGGATCTGGGAATGTCAGTGAAGTGACAAGAAGTAAAACCTCGGTCACAGGGGGCCGTGGCTTGGGGGCAGGGTGCAGGTGCAAATGAGGCTTCTGCACACGTGATCTGTGCAGCCTGATCCCAAGTCCAGCAGCAGTCCCCAGGCTGAGCAGAGAGACGCAATGGCCACGTGCTGAGGAGGGCGCAGAAGGCCTCGTCTGACGGCAGGAGCGGGGCCTGTTTCGTTCTCGTGCTGGGCTCACGCCCTCTCTCCCTGTGCAAGCTGGGAACGTCTCTGTGACTCGGGCGGAGCTGGGTCAGCCTGGTGCGAGGAGAATATTGGGTGCAGTGGCTCCGGACACCCCTCTCTCTAGGGCGCCAGGAGATCCCTGTGGGGCTGGGAAGCCTTTCTTGGCTTTGCTTGGGGTCCTGATTCATGGGATGGTGATGCAAGGAAGGGGGGCGGGGGAGTAGTGCTGTATAACCAGGCTCAGAGACGGGGGGGGGGGGGGGAGAAGGGTTCAAC